CGGGTCCACTGGTGGAACCTCTTCTAACCGGTTCGGTAGATTTGACGAACCGGTTCTACTGAATAGGTGCGAACTGGTAGGAACCCACCTCTGATTCTGTGACATTGTGCAAAAACAAGAGGTTACCAGTTCTCAGGATGGACCACTCAGAGCAGGCAGGAGAAAGGGACGATGTAAGTATACCAGCGATACTGATTGATTTGGGTTCCAATTGGCTGGTATAGATCTCTCAATTGCAAACCAAATGAGGAACAAATCCGTAGAGTGTGATCTTGAAACCAAGGTAGAAAACCAAGGGTTAACGCATCAGTAAATGACATGAAAACTCCCAATTCCCTTTCTGTGATATATGGAAGAAGACTTTGGGCTCTGGTTAATCATCCCACAGCTAGAATCCTGAGCAAATATTACTAATTATGAAACAGATGCTACAACATTACTCTAGGTTCAGGGCTCTGCCAACATACTGAGAATCCAATTGGAATGGACTATTGCGTAATAAATCACAGGCATATCCTTGGCATTCATTGGGGAAAATCTGATTTGTTCCTAATATGCTGTGTCTGTCAATGGGAGTAGGAGTGTTCCAAATACATTTATGATCCTTAAATATAATTTTGGAACAAACTGGAACAGAGCTGAGTGAAGAATAAAGAAGAGAGGGAGAAGAGGAAACAGATAAAGACGGTAAGAAGACTGGTAAGAAGGAGGGGAGCTGTTGAAACTATCTTTTTTCAATATTTCTTTTTTTGTCAAGTTGAGCAGTTCCAGTAGTTCAGTGGTTCCCAAACTTGGCAACTTTAAGACTTGTGGACTTTAACTCCCAGAATTCTCCAGCCAGCAGAGCTGGCTGGAGAATACTGGGAGTTGAAGTCCACAAGTCTTAAAGTTGCCAAGTTTGGGAACCACTGCAGTAGATTATTAGACTGTCTGTGAATATAATTACCAATGGGATGCTATTTGGAGATTATGTTTCTCTCTGAGCTTTCTCAGAGAGTTTATTTCTTTCTTTCTAGCATTTTTCCCCACTTGCAGGATCTGATTTTTCAAATCAACTGAATGTTGATCTATTGGTACCCTCTTTCCCTGAAAATAAGAGACGAGGTGGCGCAGTGGTTAGGCTGCAGTACTGCAGGCCTCTTC